ATCATCATCGTCATCATCGTCATCATCGTCATCAGCATCATCAGCATCATCAGCATCAACAGCATCATCATCATCGTCATCGTCATCGTCATCGTCGTCGTCCGCCTCAGCATCAGCATGATCAGCAGCAACAGCACCATCGTCATCCTCATCACCATCATCAGCATGAGCATCAACATCCACACCATCAGTATCCTCCGCATCGTCATCCTCCTCCTCCTCAGCATCAGCGCGGTCGTGGATATCGTTGTCAGCATCATCACAACCATCACGATCACCATCACCATCATAATCGTCACCTTTGTCATCATCATCATCAGCATCTTATGGGGCTTCTGGGAACATACTTGAGGGCCCATTCGAGTCCTGTTTGACAGGCGCTTTGGGACAGATGTTGCGCGCGGGGAGCGAAAGCCTGAGGAATCATGTTATCGGAGAGTTTTCTGGTAACATGATGGCGCGTATGAGGGCCCATTTGGAGGATGCCCAGCAAGCATTTTGGTACGCATGGTTGGGGCCGGGGGCGGAAACCTGAAGAATCATGTTCCCAAAAAGCTTCCTGGGAACATGATTGTGGGGTGTCGTTGGGCGCCTCCAGAGGCTTTGGGGCCTGACGCGTTTCCGAGCGTGGCGGACGGTAGCGCTGCTTGGGACTCTCGTTTTTTTTAGCCCTGGCAGGCGTTTAGGGAACATGGTTTGGGCAGAGGGCGGCAACCCGAGAATCATGTTCCTGCGAAGCAGTCCGTGAGCATGATTTGTTCGGCTCTCTTAAGAGGGGGGCCTCTGGGGGCTTACCGAGGGGCCCCTTTTGGCCTTGTCAGCAAGCCTATTGAAAACATGGTTGGGGCGGTGGGCGGAAGCCCAAGGAATCATGCTCCCGCGCAAAAGCTTTCTGGGAAATACGACTTACCGAAGTGCCTTGGGGGCCCGCAGGGGGCTTCCCTGGAGGCCCCTGGGAGGCCTATTGGGGTTTCTGGGGGGCCTCTTGGGAGCCTCACGGGGCTTCGTGGGAGCGTCTTGATGGCCTCTGGGGGCGTCCTAGGAGCCTCTCAGGCCGGAGACCTTGAAATGTCGCGCTCTTCGGGCCCTGTTGGGGCGTTCTTGGGGCTCTCTTGGGGCGCTCCCGAGGCCCTCTTGAATTATCTGGGGAGCCTCCTGGGCCGTCTCTGGGCTTTCTTGGGAGCCTCTTCGGCCGTCTTGGAGCGATCTGAAGGGCTTCTGACGCGGTCCGGGACCGAGGAACATGGGATTGCGCAAAAATATGTCAACAACCATCGAATAATTTTTGATGTTCGGTTTCTGGGGCCCTTGGGAGGAGCCTCTGGAAGCACTCTTGAGGCGTTTTGGCCGCGTCGTCGGCCGTCCTGAGGCCATCTTCGGCGTGTCCGGGGCCTCTAGGGGCTGTCTTGGCAATCTTTAGGGCCCTCTTGGCGTGTCGTGGCGTGTGTGGGAGCGGGCCCGGGCAGTCCTGAGAGCCTTGGGACCTCCCCGATCCCCACATGGGGGTGCCCCCCCGGCCTATTCCCCTCTATATATATATATATATATATAACATAATATGGGATAATAGTATACATATATATATATATGTATACAAATGTGTAAATATATATATATATATATATATATATATATATATATTATGCACACACAAACATATATTCATAGAGTGTACCATCTATGGCTTCACTGTCTCAAGTGCCCCTTTGGGATCATCATCGGCACCCACTTTCGTATTGCAATTTACATATGATTCTGCCCCATCGTCCATCCTAAACATAAATTCGTACCAGCCCAGCCCAACCGGTATGGGCACCCGCCGTCATCTTTTGGAAAAAACTAATATGCGCGCACGCTCACCTTTCAAAATCATCTATTGTCCAGAACCCTTGGCACACAAAAGGATGATTATGTCCGCACACGCGCGTCGTCGCGGGAGCATGCCGAAATCCTTCAAAAACCCTAGGTTTAGTAAGGATGTCAGAATCAAATGCTAAAAAATCAACATACGTGGCTTGGAGTCACGTTGTTTATCAGCACGCACGTTCTTGCAAATGCTTGTTTGCACAATGTTGCCAGACGGGCTTCGCGCGCGCATGTCGAAATCGTTCGAACGTCCTTGCGCGCGTACTGTCGCGAGAATTTTGTTTTGCGAAAATGGAACGATGTGCACGCGGGCACGTCGTCGCGCGCACACAAAATCAATATCAAGAAAACCTTGGGCGACATGAGAATTTCAAAACCGAGTGTCGCGAAACCATATTAAAACGCATGGTTTCGCAACAACAGATTTTTTACACACCAAAAAACGGCGATCGCGCTCTAGCAGATTGTAAAGAAAACCTGTTCGTTGAATTATGCCAAACGGGCCTCTCGCGCCGCATGCCGAAATCATTCGATCGCCCTTGCGAGCGTGCTGGGGGGGGGCACGAGCAGTATCAAACAAACACCATGCGGGCCACTCTCGCGCGTCGGCCGCGCACGCATGTCGAACGCCATCCAAGACCTTCATCACCGACGCGAGGAGGCCGTCATCGTCGTGATCAACATCGGCGCCGTCACTGGCCATGCCACAGTCTTTGTCGACATCGTCACCAGCATCGGTACTACCATCATCGTGTTTACTGTTGTCGACGTTGCCATGATACCGCGCCAGTCCAACTCGCCGACTCGCACTGAAGTGCCCGATGGGATGTGCCCAGCGGTCAGCGCCACCGCGGCCGCGTCGGTCGCGCTAAGCTAGCTGGCCGCCGCGCGCAGGTGCATGCGCGGGCTGGCGCGGCCGCAGAGATGCACCAGCGAACACCAAGAACTCACGGTAATCGCCGCCGCTCGTGTTTTGCGAAACAAGTTGCGGGTGGGTGGTGGGATGATTGCGCGAGCAGTACAGTTGACAGCTGCGAGTTTCACAAGTGAATTCTCCTTTCTGGAAAAAATCTACCCCCCCAGAGTTAACGATCCCCCCTGGGGTATTGCGATTTCGTAATTATTCTGCACACTCGTCCGCCCTACCTGTGAACTCATACTATCCCAGCCAAACCGGTATCGACCCCCCCCCCGCCATCCTTTGCAAAAAATACTATGCGCGCGCACTCGCTTGTCAAAAAACATAAATTTCCAAGAATCCCTGGCAAAAAATGATACGAAGTGCACACGCGCGCGTCGTCGCGCGCGCATGCCGAAATCTTTCAAAAACCTTCGATGTCGGAAGGATTTCAAAAATCGAGTTCCCAAGAAACATATAAAACGCAACGTTTCGCAACACTGATTTTCTAAAAAACTTACACGCGCGTTCTTGCGAAATCTGAAGGAAACGATAGGTTGTTCAAGATTATCAACAAAAACCAAAAGAAAACAAATAAAGTGCAAAATGGGATTCCCTCGCGCGCAAGTCGAAACCGTTCGAACGCCATTGCGCGCGTGCCGTCGCGAGAATCGTCTGCAAAAAAAACGAAATGCACGCGCGCGCGTCGTCGCGCGCGCATGCCGAAATCCTTCAAAACCTTCTGTTTCGGAAGGATTGCAAAATCGAGTGTCCAAAAAATACACAAACACACGGTTTCGCAACACGGATTTCCAACGAAAACGTGCGCGCGCGCTCTTGCGTCGTCGTCGTCGGCGTCGCCGTCCGCCCTCCTCCCGCGTCGTCGTCATCGCCGTCGTCGTCGCCTGTCTTTCCTCGTCGTCGTCCTCGTCCTCTTTGGCGTCGTCGTTTCCGTCGTCGTTGTCGCCGTGGTCGTCCTTCCTCCTCCCTCGTCGTCGTCGTCGTCCGTCGTCGGCGTCTCGTCGTCGTCCCTCCTATTTGTCGCCGTTGTCGTCGTCGTCGTCTTCCCTCCTCCCTCGTCGTTGTCATCGTCGGCGTCGCCGTCCTCCCTCCTTCTTCGTCGTTCAGGTAGTCGCCGTCCTCCCTCCTCCCTCGTCGTTGTCGTTGTCGCCGTCGTCGTACTCCCTCCTCCCTCGTCGTCGGCGTTGTCTTCGTTGGCGACGTCGTCGTCGTCTTCGTCGTCCTCGTCGTCGGCGTCGTCGTCGCCGTCGTCGTCGTCGGCGTCGTCATCGTCGTCGTCGTCGTCGGTGTCGTCGTCGTCGTCGACGTCGTCGTTGTCGTCGTAGTCGAAGTCGTCGGAGACGTCGTCGGTGTCGTCGTAGTCGTCGTAGGCGTCGTCGTCGTCGTCGTTGTCGCTTTCGTCGTCGGCGTCGCGGTCGTTGCCAAGTGCCATTTGGTACCCACAGTCACGGTCTTAAGAAGTCTTGCGACCAAGTTGCGGGCGGGAGGGTGGGATGTTTGCACGAGCAGTGGAGAGGACAGCTTCAAATTGAGCAAAAGATTGATTGCACCACATAGGTTGCACCACATAGATTGCACAACACATATTCCAAGAAGCATACAAATTGGGGTCAACGCTGGCTAACAGTCTTAACGCTGGAGAACCCATACATCTGAGTCAACACGCCGGACATCCGCTGCACGTCGTTGATACACCCCCTCAGCTCCGCGGAGGTCCTCGGGTAATTGATGCCGACGAGGAGCGCCTCGCGGAGCACACCGGCGGCGACAAGAAGACTGAGGAGGGAGGAGAGGAGGGGAAGGATGGGTCCTTCGAGGCGGGGGAGGAGTGAGGAGGCGCTTGGAGGCGCTGCCAGGAGGAGCGAGGAGGAGGGAGCGCATCGACGGCTATTTTGCTCCAGGTGCCGGAGAGGGCGGCCAGCGCAGACCGGGAGGCGAGGCGCGGACCTCCGGAGCGCTCCCCCCTCGGACGGCACTCCCGCGGATGGACAGAAAAGTGCAACCCTTTCACTACACTCTCAGCTTGGGCATGTCCTCCTGCAGGCGGACTTGTCCTCCCAAAGGGCGGATTCGGGACGAGAAACTCAAAATAGCAGAAGAAATAGCCCTGAGATGCTCAAAAAGAATCGGGAATCGTCCCCAGACCACTGTTTGACTATGTTTGAACATGTCTCCTGTACAGGGACATGCCCGACTTAGCTTCACTCCCCCCTGCCCTCCGATTCAGTGTTGGTCCCAGGCATTCGGCGGCACGGAGGCTCAGAGAACCAAAAGAAGGTCAAACCCCAAGGCCTCCGCGAGGCCTGACCCAGCTCTGAACCTGGGGGGGGTACCGTCCCCTGACAGGAACAAAAAAACTGCGCCCTGGTGGTTCTGAGTCCGCGAAGCTCTGGCCCAGCATTGCGAACGTGTTCTTATTCGGCGTTTCGACATTGGGTGGAAGAGGGGGGGGAGGGGGGGAGTCTGGCTCCGAACCACTGCTTGATGCGACTGTTTACAGCAGTGCGTCTTATGGGGGGGACTCCACCTGCTTGAAACAGGCTCCAAAAGTGGCCAATATCTACTCCATGGGAGGGGGGGAGGTGGTGCAAAGGGGCCTGCGCCGATCGGCAAAACAGTGAAAAAGAAAACGATCACAGTCCCGCGGCTCCTGCACCGTGGGCTCTCGTCTTGCTCTGGGGCCCGCCCGCGAGACGCCCCAGGCCGAGAAACGTGGGCCGCCCCGATGTCTTCTCGGGGCCCTGGAGGTGGTCTGCGCCGGGAGGGCAGAGCGAGCGAGCGAGCGAGCGCTGAGTATGTATGGACCGCGCGCGTGCGCGGCTGCGTGAAACCGGGTCCGCGGAAAGCCCACGGGCCCTTTAGGGCGTGAGCGGCTTGGAGGGCCGCCTCTTCCAGCCCCCCTTCTTCAGCCCCCCGGCTTGGAGGGGTTTATCACTGCTCCCTATCAATACACACCCCCTCCCACAGGCGACGGGCAGCCAACCACGACCAATGAGGCCCGCGAGCAATGTGTATCGTTTTTTGACAGGGACGGCGGGGGTGCCTGCATATTGCCTGCTTTGCGCAGGGCCCGCATACCTTCCAAAAAACCATGCAAAATGCACTTCGAGACAAAATCTGGGTCATACGTGGGCACCCCGCGATCTCTGTGCATTGGTTTTTGACAGGGACGGCGGGGGTACTGGCAAATGGCCTGTTATGTGCAGGCCCACCAGACGCTATGATGGCCACCCCGTCGCGATTGCGCACCGGTTTTCGACAAGGGTGGTGGGGCCGACACGTTTCACGATGTGTAATGCTGCGTGCGCAGGCGCAAAGGCAAACTCTGGGCGTGCCCCGAACGTGGCGCACCTCACGCGGCTGGAGCATGCGGCACACATGGCGCACGTGGATTACGCGGTGCATCTGACGCACCAGGCGTGCCTGGCACGCTTGGGCCACAGGGGTGCCTGGCGCAGCTGGCGCGCGTGGCGTGCCTGGCACGCCTGGCGCACCTCGCCCCAGCGTTGCGCACATGGGGTCAGTTTGGATCCCACTAGCTGTCCATCAAAAAACTACCGCTGAATACGCTGCGGCCCAGGTAAAGGTCATGTGTTGGGAGGGCGGCCGTGAGTGAGCTAGACGGCTTGCGGGCTGGGAGGGTGTCTTGACCACTCTTCCCTATTAATACACACCCCCTCCCCCAGGCGACCAGCGGCCAACCAGGAATCATGCTCACCCCTCCCCACCATCCCTGTCAAAAAAACCATACAAAACGCACTCTGCCTCCACATGTGGAGCATGCGCGGCCAACCCGATGCGGCCCCCCCCCCACCATCCCTGTCAAAAAAATTAGCCTGACGAAAGACCCAACCATACGTAGTTGTGAATAAACGCAATTGTAGATATATTCTTCGGTGGCGCCCCCGGGCCACGAAACGAGTGAGGGGTGTGCCGAAACGGGGGGGTGGAACCGCATGCGAGCGCAGCCACTGGGGCGCTCGGTGGAGCTCCCTATGGAGCCACGAAACGTGTGAGGGGTGTGCCAGAATGGGGGGTGGAACCGCATGCGGGCGCAGCCACTGGGGCCTTCGGTGGAGCCCCTATGGGGCCACGAAACTGTGAGGGGTGTGCCAGAATGGGGGGGGAACCGCATGCGGGCGCAGCCACTGGGGCCTTCGGTGGAGCTCCCTATGGGGCCACGAAACGTGTGAGGGTGTGCCAGAATGGGGGGTGGAACCGCATGCGGGCGCAGCCACTGGGGCCTTCGGTGGAGCTCCCTATGAGGCCACGAAACGTGTGAGGGGTGTGCCAGACTGGGGGGTGGAACCGCATGCGGGCGCAGCCACTGGGGCCTTCGGTGGAGCTCCCTATGGGGCCACGAAACGTGTGAGGGGTGTGCCAGAATGGGGGGTGGAACCGCATGCGGGCGCAGCCACTGGGGCCTTCGGTGGAGCTCCCTATGGGGCCACGAATCGTGTGAGGGGTGTGCGAGAATGGGGGGTGGAACCGCATGCGGGCGCAGCCACTGGGGCCTTCGGTGGAGCTCCCTATGGGGCCACGAAACGTGTGAGGGGTGTGCCAGAATGGTGGGTGGAACCGCATGTGGGCGCAGCCACTGGGGCCTTCGGTGGAGCTCCCTATGGGGCCACGAAACGTGTGAGGGGTGTGTGTTGACTGCTGGTCTTAGTGCCAGAATGGGGGGTGGAACCGCAGCGGGCGCAGCCACTGGGGCCTTCGTGTTGAAGCTCCTATGGGGACCACGAAAAACGTCGTTGAGGGCGTTTTTTGTGCCAGAATGGGGAGTGGAACCGCATGCGGGCGCAGCCATTGGGGCCTTCGGTGGAGCTCCCTTATGGGGCCACGAAACGTGTGAGGGGTGTGCCAGAATGGGGGGTGGAACCGCATGCGGGCGCAGCCACTGGGGCCTTCGGTGGAGCTCCCTATGGGGCAACGAAACGTGTGAGGTGTGTGCCAGAATGGGGGGTGGAACCGCATGCGGGCGCAGCCACTGGGGCCTTCGGTGGAGCTCCCTATGGGGCCACGAAACGTGTGAGGGGTTTGCCAGAATGAGGGGTGGAACCGCATGCGGGCGCAGCCACTGGGGCCTTCGGTGGAGCTCCCTATGGGGCCACGAAACGTGTGAGGGGTATGCCAGAATGGGGGGTGGAACCGCTTGCGGGCGCAGCCACTGGGGCCTTCGGTGGAGCTCCCTATGGGGCCACGAAACGTGTGAGGGGTGTGTGAGGGGGTGGCCAGAATGGTGGGTACCGGGCGCAACGATGCGGGCCAGCCACTGGGGCCTTCACGGTGGAGCTCCCTATGGGGCCACGAAACGTGTGAGGGGTGTGCCAGAATGGGGGGTGGAACCGCATGCGGGCCAGCCACTGGGGCCTTCGGGTGGAGCTCCCTATGGGGCCACGAAACGTGTGAGGGGTGTGCCAGAATGGGGGGTGGAACCGCATGCGGGCGCAGCCACTGGGGCCTTCGGTGGAGCCCCTATGGGGCCACGAAACGTGCGAGGGGTGTGCCAGAATGGGGGGTGGAACCGCATGCCAGCGCAGCCACTGGGGCCTTCGGTGGAGCTCCCTATGGGGCCACGAAACGTGTGAGGGGTGTGCCAGAATGGGGGGTGGAACCGCATGCGGGCGCAGCCACTGGGGCCTTCGGTGGAGCTCCCTATGGGGCCACGAAACGTGTGAGGGGTGTGCCAGAATGGGGGGTGGAACCGCATGCGGGCGCAGCCACTGGGGCCTTCGGTGGAGCTCCCTATGGGGCCACGAAACGTGTGAGGGGTGTGCCAGAATGGGTGTGGGAGGGGGAGGGGGGGGGAGGAGGAAGGAAGGCGGAACGCGGGGACCGTCTCTTCAAAACGAGGACCCAACAACACAGGTTGGTTGGGAACAGCACATGTCAAGTGCGCAGGCGCACCTGACACATTCTACACGTGCCCCGAACGTGGCGCACGTGGCGCGGCTAGAGTATGCGGCACACCTGGCGCACGCGGAGCACGTGGCGCATCTGGTGCACCAGGCGTGCCTGGCACGCTCGGGCCACAGGGGTGCCTGGCGCGCGTGGCGCGCCTGGCACGCGTGGCGCACCTCGCCCCAGCGTCGCGCACATGGGGACGGTTTTGGCGCCCAGTAACTGCACATCCAAAGACGACCGCTGAACATGCTCAGGCTCGGGTGTTACTTATGCGTTGGCACGGCGGGTGGGGGTGAGCTAGACGGCTTGCTATCCAGGGGGTGTCTTGATCACTGTCCCCAATTGATATACACCACCTGCACCCACCCGGCCGGCGGCCAACCCAGAACCATGACAACCACATGATGGCCACCACCCCACCATCCCTGTCAAAAAAATACAAAACGAATTCTGCCTCCACATTTGAGCATAAGCGGCCGCCCCACGACCAGTTTGCATTGGGGCGCACGTAGAGCACGTGCCGCACCTGGCGCGCCTTGCACGCTTGGGCCTCCAGGGTCTGGCGCATCTGGAACCCGTGGCGTCTGCGGCGTTCTTTCGCGATATGCTGACTCCCGGGTGTTACGTATGTGTTGGGAAGTGAGCAAGACGGCTTGCAGGCGGGTGGGAAGCTTGACCCCTCCCCCTACCCCCTCCCCCTGGACCTGCAGGGGGAAGGCCGTGGGTCGTTAGAGAGTCCAAAACGGCCTCTGTGAGAATTCCAAATTAATTGATTTTACTATGGTTTTGGCCACGTGTTGGCATCCTGCGGGAAGGGCGCAATTGAATACGGCACCTGCTTTGATCGATCTCCTCCAAGATTGTCTCAAGATGGCCCACAACGTCCCCACCGGTACCCCAAGACGGTCCCAAGAGGCGCCGAGGAGACCCCAAGAGGCCTCCCAAGAGGCCCGCAAGATGCCTCCGAGAGATTCCCAAGAGACCCCCTAGAGGTCTCCCAGGGGCACCAAAGACGCCCCAAGAGGCCTTGGCGAGAAGGCCTAAGTCATTGATGTTACCTAAATGGTTTGGTCTCACTTTGGCCTCCTGGGGGGGCTAATTGATGAGCTCCCCTCCTTTAATCGGTCTCCTCCAAGATGGCCCCCAGATGGCCCTTGAGGCTCCCAAGAGTGCCCCAAGAGTCTCCCAAGAGGTGCCCAGAAGGCCCCCAAGAGGCCCCGAAGCTGCCCCAAAAGATGCCTCCAAGAGGCCCCAAGAGGCTCCCAAGAGACACCCAAGAGGCTCGAGAAGGCTCCTCCAAGGCACCCA